AAGAATCCTGAAAAATATTGTGCAAAAGCACTGCCAAATATTAAGCTGTCATTTTGCTGGAGGGAGACTATTGATGATTGGATTTGGCTAACTGTTGTCAGTGCTTGATAGAACGCAGCAATGCAAACCATGACGTTGGTCTGCTTAGATGTTCAGGGCTTCCAGACAGAACTTCAGGATTTTTAAATTGCAGTTTACACAACTTGTTCTCAGAGTCTTTTAATCTTTCTAAATAGTGGCCTAATTTTAACGACAGTTACAAGTATCTCACCTGTCTGCCATCCACAGAAAACACTATTCAGAAACTGAAGCTGAGGCTAACTGCTCGGTATGGGATTGTAGCATGCCAGGGACTCAGTATGCCAGGTCATGTATCCATAATTCTGGAAACATGCAAAAAGCAAAAGGAACAGTTACATACTAAAAGCACTTGCATAGCCAGCAGTGCTTGCTTGTGTACCTGAAAGCACCGGGAAACCTAACTTCTGAATGATTTTGATGTTTGTAGGCAGCAATGTCTATACTGTAGCTAAGCTGCTTAGGGAGGTGTGGAGTTTATGTAGTTGTGGCATCAGGAAAACAATACCAATGTTGGTTAAATTTGGAAAATGTTAAACCCTTTCTCACAACCAGCTTAGAAAATTCAGATTTTCTACAAACTGCTAACAACACGTCCCATAAGGCTGTCTTCCAGTCTAATAAATAGACTTAAAGCCAAAGGGGAGGTATTTCAGCTTAATTAGACTTAATGCATGTAAACAAGAGAGAGGAGACAAGGAATCTCTCTTTTGTTTCCATTCTGCTGCCTCTAACATGAATAGTTCTGTGATACATTTCTGCATATTAGATCTGACTGAGAGGTCCAACTTTGTTCTTTGCTGAAATTCAAAATGAAATTAAATATACATGTAGTGTCAAAATGGCATTTTTTGCTGAAACATTTCTACTAGCTCTATTATAGAGCTTACTACTTTCAGACTGGGGAAATGTTCAATTTCATTTTGAGCTAAGGTTTGAAAGATTTGCTTCTTTTTGTTATTTAAGACGAAACTTAAATGGTCTATTCTATACTCGCATTATGGTATTATTAGTTAATATTTGTTTTTCACCAGATAGTTTTCAGCTATTATGCTGAAGAAAGCACAGCAGAGGAAGAGAGTGCACACATATAAAACTAGCTTTTGAAAGCTAGTTGATAAATATTTAAGAGCATCTACCAGATTAATGTGCAACCCCTCACTAGGAGATAAATAGGTTCATTTAGCCCCCTTTTTAAGGTTATAAAGCTCATACAGTGATTTTTGCCTCTGTTGATGTCCAGAGTTCTATTGCTAACATTTCATGGAATTCTGTAGTTAAACCACGTTTAATCTCAGAAATGGTACCAAGACTTTCTGCCTTCTGTTTGAAATAGCACTTTGTGCTATTTTGTCCCAATTACTTGATGTCATATTTCTTCCTTCGTTTATAACCTTCATTTCTCCAAATATCTCAATGACTCCTCCACAGTTAAAGGATCAGCCTGTTCTCTTTGTTTACAGCATGTTTCATAAGAATCCTACTAGTAGAAGATGAAAAGCCAGTCAAACACACATGCCATTTAACCTCCTTTTCTTGGCAGTCTCTGCTTCTCAGTTTGTTGATTTATGTGAGAAGAGGGCTATACCTGACACCGCTTACAATTTTGGCTTGGCAGAATCGGGTTGCTAAAAGTTGCTTTCTTGAATTTAGTAGCTACTCGAGTTTGCTGCCAGTGTGCATTCTCAGGGCTCAATATATCTGAAAACAATGTTGTTTATAATGCTGTCTCTCTGAGGAATGTTGACATGGGATGACTATTCCACAAAGGGCTAAATCCCAATGTCCGCGTCTTCTATTCCACACACAGCCACATTTTTGTGCAATTCATCTAATACAGCTTTCAACATTTTGGTGGATTAAGAGGTTGGTGCTCCAGAGTCTTTGTATGGCTGAAGAATTAAATCAATTTTGATCTTATACTCTGCTTTCATTCTGAAGATCTCCAGCTTTGTTGTTTTACAAGACCACAAATTTTGTGTGTCAAGCATTATTTCCTTCTGAGTCAGTTTTGAACACTCAGGGATGTAAGAGTATGTTTATTTCAAGATTTTACAGGATCATAAATGCGGCTGTGACTATCATGGGGGAGAAAGCATAGGAAGTATGGGAGGATTTCTGTAAGAAGCCATTCTCTGTTGAAGATGGGATAAACTCCCAGTGGATATAAAGGAAAGTTTTAGTTGTAGTATACTTTTTGCTTTGTGATTGTTTCGTTTGGAAAATGCATGTTTTTAAAACTTTTATTGCAAATTATTATTTTAATTGTGCTAATAAACGCAGAACTTTGAGGTGCAGTAGCACAGAAACAGTATCAAAAGAGTAATACTGAAAACAGGTTAACTCAGTAAAAGAAAAAGAAAAAAATAGGTGTTCTGTCCTTAAGTAAGACATATGGATGATAGTGTGAGGAAGATTTGAGAATGCACAAGTATCCTTTGTGAGACCACCGTATGAGTCAAAGGTGTCTGTTATTAAGGAGGGAAAACATGATAAACGGTTATGTAGGTAATGAGAAAATTAATTTGGTAATTATTAAGCTGTAAGAAAAATGGAATACTACAACCATGAAATCTTGCTTTTTTCATAAATCAGTATTAAATTCAAATTCAGGTTTTGAGATTTGTGGAGGGACCTACTTGGGAAAAACAACTGGCCACAGAGAAACAGTTTACAATGCCGTTGAACTCCTGTGGATACATATCTGAATTGATCTAGGCTTGCTTCCAGGCAATTCTGACAGCTGCTTCCACTCTTAAAGGGATTTGTGTTCTCTGCAATTAGTGAGTTAAGGTGTGGCAAGAAAATTGTATACATAACCTGCAGAAGAATAATTCTACGTAGTACGTTATACCTATCAGAGCATTAATTATCATATAAACATGCTGAAGAATCAGATTTTTGTCTCAAAAAGATGAAAATACCCAGAAAAATACCATGTAAGAGAAAATTGGTTCAGCCATTTGTGAAGAGCGAAGAATCATATTCACACCATTACAGATTCATGTATTGTGGTTTCTGATCAGTGTAGTTCTTACAGACATCAACAAAAAATCTGTCACTAAAGCTCCTTGCTTTTGTATTTAATACAGATTTCCTACTCTTAGACCCCTATAAATGTAGCTGTCTGTGGCCAGGTGCTGTGGGAAGTTAAGATTGTCCCTGTTGTGGTTACTGCTTTTTCACAGACATTTCCTAAAGGACATCTTAATTGTCATCGTGTTCCAGCCGGACTCTGCATAAGCACCCACACTGTCTTTCTGGTAGCATGTTTGGCCATGGACGGTTTTAGATCCTGAAAGTCTGTTCCTGCTCACTTGCTATGTATAGTTGAATAAATGACTGTCCTATGAATTACCTAATTACTTGTTCTGTGGGGCACAGGGAGGAAATTCCCTGAAAATGGTAAATTGCCTCAGGCTGGTTAATGGTTGTTTGGGGGTAGAGGGGGGGCAGGCAGAGGAGAAGGGTTGGTTGTTGGTTTGTGGGTTGATTCCTGTTTGCGTTGAAACAGACTTTGGGGGGGGGGAAGAAAAATATGTAGTCTTGCTTTAAGAAATGCCTAGTGATGGTGAGGATACCACAGTCATTGCTCAGCTATTACCTTCACTGTTAAAAATTTAAACTTAACATCTTTTCCAAATTTGTTTAGCTTTGCTGTCTCATTACGTTTTTGGCTGATAGATGTCTGCTCTCTATTGATCTTTATGAAATACATAAAAATTCTGCATCATTGCATTTGAAACATTCTAGTTGTATCTTCACCTTCAAAAAGATTGCAGTGGGAACAATACAAGTGTTGTATGCTTAGCCTGGAAAAGGAGTCAGTGGAAAGAGGGCCATTGTTACTGCGGACAGTCATCCTTGCCCTACATAACAAATGTCATGCTGAATAGCAAACTGAGTTCAGCTACACGTGCATGGCAAGGGAAGAATCTCAAACCACAACAGAGAAGTCGTGATCATTGTGAGCGTTCTGTCTGGGACACTACTGCAGCTCAGGGTACCTGCAGAGTCAGCTTACTTTGTTGTTTCACAATAATGAGCAATGAATGAAAATTAAAGCAATTGGTTTGACGCTGTCTGGAGAGGTGTTCTAGAATTGCTGGTAGAGAAGGAAAAAATACCTAAAAATTAAAAGCATTACTTGGTTTTATTCTGTGCTTTAGAGTGTGAGAGGAAGGAATTGGGGGAAAAAAAGTTAATCCTTTTTCCTCTCTCTCTCCATGTGGTATGAAGTGGTTTGGTTTATTCCTTATTTTTTATAAGTGTAAGTAAGATAAGTGTAATTGGGAATGAGGTTTGGGGTTTGGGCTTTTCTCCAATAAAAATTGTTTTGTCTTTATGATGTTGCTTCTGTCCTTACCTAGCGGCAGGATGAAGAGGGAAATAGTTCTGCAGGAAAGGATCTGGGGTTATGTTGGATAAATCAATGATGTACTGTTGCAAAAAACCTCAGTCATCACTGCAGGATGTGTAAGGACGAGTATAGCTTGTAAAGCACAAGAAATAATCCTTATGCTATAGTCAGCATTTGCAAGGCCTCAGTTGTGCCCAGTTTAGGATTCTGCATTTGAGGAAGAATGTGGATCATCTTGAGGTGAACCAAATGAAATCACTGAAAATGATGAGAGGCCTAGGAAACTGGTCTCCGTTGAGGATTGGAGGAAATGGGGTTAATATGTCATGTGGTAAAGGAGGAAAAGACTTAAAGCATGATAATAGAGTTTAAAGGTGTAAAAGTCTGCTGTGTAATAGCCTGTTCTCAAAAGCAACAGAAGAAAAGAAGCAATGGTTTTCAACTGTGGGATGGGCATAAGGAGGGCGCTGATGGTAAAGATAAACATTGGAATAGTGGGATGAAACTGTGGGATCTTTAGGAACAGATCAAAGAAGCATCTGTCATGAGTGATAGAGGCACAATGGAGTCTGTCCTGAAGCATGTAAGTTGTATGACGGTCTTAAAGACACTTTGGATCCTAATTTACAACTTTATTATTTTTATTATTTAGCATAAATGGTATCAAGTTATTGATTTGGATTAACTAAATCTTTTGGTTCTAAATGGATGTAGTAAGCAATGAATGAAGTTTCTTATTGCTAGGAAATAGCCCTATTTCTACCCGAGATCTTGTGTCTGCCTTGGTGTTCTTTACCTAGGTTGACATATGGAAAGCAGAACATGCAGGATCTCAATCTCTTTTTGTGCCACTGTTGACTGATTGCATCTCTAGGGATTTACTTGCCCGTTTACCTCCATTTGAAGGCAAGTGGGTCTATATGACTTTGTATTTGAATGACTCCTCTGATCACCTTCTGTGTGTGAGTTAGAGATTGACCCTTCTGGTGTTTTGCTGTTGATGCTATCGATTCATTATTCCCCTGGCTGAGGGGCTGGCCAAGAAGACAGAAAACTACTGACCAGATCAGCAAGAGCAAATGCGGCTCAGTGTAAGCGATTAGATGACTAGAGCTTGTTACCCATTTAATGTCTGCCTGGTTCCCATGGCTGGCATTTCCGTCTTCAAATAAAGGTCTCTTGAGGAGCATGCAATTACAGGGGCAGAAGTAAATCCGCACCTTTCTATCATTTTTTCTGTACTGTTCGAAAAAGCAAAGCAAGCAATGCATTGATTTTATAGCATGGAAGTTATTTTATGCACTGGCAGTGACTGAAATACTCTTTTAAACTTAGATCCTACAGAATGTTCTTTACACAGTGAGTGTTTTTACTCGTGGTATATTAACAATTTTTATTTTGTTTTTCATCTGTTCTCTGTGATGCTTTTTCTCAAATACTTTTACTGGCTGTTCAGAATACTAACTGAGCCAGATAATTGTCACAAGTACAACAGCTACGCAATTGCTGTAGAAGGATTGTAGTAGTTTTGAAATGTCGCCAGCATGCTAAATCAGTGTTCCTTTTCACTGGCTGTTGGGAAAGTAAAAAAAAAAAAAAATCCAGTGACTGGAAGAGATGGATGCCTTTTTTTTTAATTATACCTTTGCTATAAAAATGTTTCAGTTTTAATTCAAATGTGTCTTTTATTTTATTCTACTTAGTAAACAGAAATACTTTATGTTCGATTTTAAATATTTTGTGGTTTTTTTAAAGACAACATGGCCATAATGCACTTATTTCATCAGCACAAGGTGAAATGCCCGGATGTAGTCGCTGCTTTTCTCTCATATCTAAAAATATTTCAGATGCATGGAGTATCTGATACAGGATAAAATTCTCTATTTCATACTAGAGTTTCCATTGAATTTTTTAACACACAACCCTAAGTTGTAGATTTCAACTATGAAAGCAATTAAATTTCTGTTATGTATTTTTTTTTTAATCTGAAATCTGTTTCATAGTATCTTTCTTGTGATAGCTGTAGCTTGGAGTCCACTGTGAAAGCAGTAATTTGTCTTTCTTTCAGGGAACTGGAAGACTTGAAATATCAATATTTCTGAGGAAATCTCTAATACCAAATGTATTGTGAGAAGTGGGGAAGGGAAGATGTCTGTTTCTTAATTGTTCCCTTTGCAGACTGGTTTAAAAAGATTATTATGAGCTGAGTGAGTTCTACACAATTAATTGAGACCTTATCAACGGAGAGCAGTTGACAGTGTTTATTATCAAATTGCTAAAAATATTTCCTGTCCTTTGTGTCCCTGAGATAAGAGATGATATTCTGATGCCTGTCTTTTCACAGGACCTGTTGTTCAGTGTGTGCGCTCTCAATATCATCTCCACCATTGTCTGTGCTTTGGCAACAGCAATGTGTTGCATGCAGATGGTTTCTTCTGATCTTCTGCAAATGGTGAGTATGTTTCAGTGACAACACAGGGTATTGTCCAACATGACATATTGTCCTATTCTTTGCTTATAAACTTAAGCCTATTTGTGTGTCTATATGTAGTGTTAGAATGTGTGTGTACACGGGTGTATTTTTTTATCTGCATGCATTTATATAAATATAGCACACAGGTGTATGCCATATGAATAGCTGCTGTGTTTAAAATGTTTACATGTTATATGAGAGGGTTATAATCAGGATTTTGCAATTGGGAGTATGTCATTTTTGTTAATGAGGTTATTAATGAGGTTCAGTTATATATGCATGTTAAATTTTCTGTCATGACATGTTTATTATCTGTAGTTTCCACACTACCCAGAGCAATTACTTAGCTTTGAGATACTTATCTTTCACTGCTTTTCTGGTATGAGAACTATGGAGTATGAGAACTATGAGTTCAAAACTGGAACTTTTCACAGCCCTTGCCAATAACAGTGTTTTCATAAGGAAAACATGTTCAGCTTCAGTGTAGCACTTGTGTTTAAAACAAGAGGGAAAAGGATCATTAGTCTTCTGCATAGCCAGCTGCGTTACAGGATACTGTCTTGTTTTGGTTGGATAAAGACAGCTTTCCTATCCCAAATGAGCACTGTGATTCTCAAGGCTGCAATGTAATGTTGAAACAAAAAAAGAAAAATTTAAAATCCTTTGTATTTTGCAGGCCAGGTATACTGTTTCTAACCCAGCTCTATTACTGGCTAATCTAGGAAATCATCCTCTGTTTTTAATAAGAGAGGGCAAGCGCACAAACCTAGTACCAGTCATTTGTAAATCTCTCGTATTTTGAAAGTTTGCATAGATAGAATACTGGCTCAGCACATTATCTGCAAACCATTTACACAACCGAGGAACGTTGTATAACCTGCCCTGCAGGCATGTGGTTGACTTTAAAGTAAATAAATAAATAAATAAATAAAAATACCCTAGCTGCCATGGATATTGGTTTAAGTGCATGAATTACAGAGATAAGGCTGTCCTTTCTAGACAAGTGTTCCAGTCGCTGGGTTACAAACTTAGTTAAAGAATATCTTCAATCTGTGACCTGGTGTTTACTTCACATAGTAGCAGATATAAGAAGTTAGGTGCATATGTCTATATAATGCCTACAAATGGTACATAAATGCATTTTTTAATGTAGCACTCCATGTATTCATATTGTGTGTGCTTGTAGAGGCTTATGAACAGCGCTTATTTAATAACTTTGTTTTGGATGTCAAACAGAATTGACAAAAATAATCATTTCAGCTGATGACACATTATATTTTAAATGTTAAAGGATTCTTATCGTATTGTAGGTATTCTTTCTTTTCATACACTCCCCCCCCATGATATTTGCTGCAAGAATGCCCATTGACTATAAAGATCTTTTTCCCCTTGCAGTGATGACAGGGGAGGTGAAGTGATCATCACACCTGGCAAGAGCTATCTGTCTAGTGTAACAACGGTAGCAGTGATCCAGAAGTGTAACCATATATATTCCAGGAATCTTAACCTATACTTAATTTTATGGTATTTAGCAGTGTAAGAGCAATAAAAATGTATAGACGCCAATGAACTAAGAACGATATTAAAGTGCTTCTGACGGGCATGTGCAAGAAGCAGTAATCTCAATAGGACGTCAAGTATCTTAAAAGCACATAATTTTTCTCTCTGCCACTTCATTCTTCACTTCCTCCCTAAAATTCTTTCTTTACCACCTGGCAATGCTGCCATTATGTTGATTTCTTTTTGCTTCCTACGCTTTGTGCTTCCAGCTTGCTGTCTCCCTGCTTAGTTGTCCGTGCTCCCACCCTTTCAGCTCCATTGACAAGAATTTTCTTCCCTCTCCACAGAAGAAGGGAATTATATCTTTCTTTCTGCTCGACCCCAGTCTTTTCTTGTTTGTCCTTAAGGTTTTCCCTTTCTTTTTTCAGGTTGCTGAGCCAGATTCCTACCAGGCCTAAGTGAGCGTAACTTCCCTGGGGCTACGCTGACTTAGACCAGCTGAACTCTGACCGAAGATTTCTTTTTCTTCCACTATTTTCAGTCTATTGTCCCATGACCTGCAGTTCCCGTTTGCTCTCCTGCACCCACAAATCTGATTTAATTCCTTTTTTCTTGCTTGTTAATGCTTGATTTGTGCTTTTTCCTTTTACTTTTCTCTAAGGTATGCATCTTCTCCTAGCAGGGTTGTACCATGCTGGAAGTTTAAGATAGCAGCAGCAAGGGATACCGCCCCTATTAGATGACAAGGTTTTAATTATTGTGCTGATTCTTTTACTCTGTTCTTACAGTATTCAAGAGCTACATGGGCTCTCCTGTAGGAAGAGGAGGTATAAAAATATAATTCCTAGCCAGCAAAAGCATTACGCAATGGGGAACATCCTCCTCGGACATCGTTAGATTATCATTAGGTCATCAGTTTTGTGATTCATGTGCTGTGTTAGTGTTCTTGTCTCAGAAATTAATCAGTTAGAATGGTGAATTTTTGCGAATTTCAAATGATTTCATGTTCTCTTCTGGCACGAAGCTGTTCTATGTGCTTCAGGTATTTATTGCCTAGCAACATAGAGCTGGTATATAATGCAGCCTCAAGAAAGTCTGCAACAATGTTTCATGAGTATCTGCTTTCTTGCTAACTTTAGCATATAGTGAGTATCTGATTCGTACAAGCGAACTGACAGTATTTTATTGGAAACTGCTCCCTTCTGATGTATTGATCTTTTAGTAAAAATGCCCTGAAAAATATAAACACAAGCTGTCCAGTAGTAAGTGCAGATTAAATTTTCCCATGAATTTGAAGGGGTTTTTTGGTTAAAAATAATCCCACAAAAGAAACATTTGGTTTCAAGCCTTAAGGAAAAAAATACTGCAAAATATTGCAAACTATTTTTATTCTGTTATACTTTAGTTTCCTTTAGTTTTTACTTTTGTACTATCGTATGGGACACACAAACACATTTTCCTAGGTTGTTCTGTCTTTGAGTTGACTGTTTCAGAAAGTACTCCAAATTTTTCGCCTCACTTTAACCTTCCTCACCCTGTTAAGTATACCCAGTTGCTCAGGTAAAAAAAAAAAAAAAAATCTACCAATTGTACTAACGCTGCAAGAGTAAGTGATACCACAGTTAAAGATTGAAACAGCATTTGTTATGTGTTTCCCTACTTTAGACAGCTTAAGGCTGCACTCTGTTACAGGGCTTCCCTGAATTGTTCTTTCTGTGTACACACCCCTCCAGCAGATAAATGTGAATCAAATCAGATTATATCAAAGTTCTGTAATGTGAAGAAACATCTCTTAATAACCAAGCTGTCACTTCCATGGTATTTCATTTGTTGTCTAAGGCAGTTTCAGTTTGGATCTTGTCTGATGAATGGCTACTGCAAAAATTCACACTGTTTTCTTCAAAAGGTAGCTGCCTGAATTAAACAAAGAAATTCAAGAAAATATGCCCACTGTGGCCAAGCTGAAGCACGAAGTACACCTGCTCCAGTCCTTCTTCCACTCCAGAGATACAATACTTACCTAGAAGTACTGGCACTGATACCATTCAGTGTATTCTGATTTTATCACCATCACTGTTAGTAACTGTTCTTCATGTTATGTGATATCTAAAACAATCTGTTATTTTGTAAAGGAAATAAGATAATGATGACACATGCAAGTGTAACATTTAATTACTGTTTTCACCAGCCATAATGATAATTCAGCGTGTCATTAACTTAGTAGGCTGTAGTTAATATTTCTACTCAAACACCTCAAAGCACCTCTGTATGAGGATAGTATCTTACTGGCATTGTTTAACCCCTTATCCCAGTGAAATAGTAATAAAAAAAACCCTTCAGGATGAAGCTTCAAATTAAGTGAGAATTGATCTTAAGTTATTACATGATTTTTATTATTTAACCTAATTATATGAAAAACCTATATATTACATTTTTTGGCACAAAGCTCACTTAAAGGTACTGTAAAGCCCAGTCCTTTTAAAAATATGCATTGCGAATGATGTACATCGATAGAAACATCCTAAATGTATATATGGTTGGATAAATATTCCCCTCACCCCCACAACAAATAAAAAGGTAAAAGAGAAACCTTTGGTGTAGCAAAGCTTTTGACATTTTTAGAGAATGTACTATTTTCCATTTTGCATTTTTTTGGTACGATAAGAATATTTAATATTTAACACTATTTAAAATATATTCAGTACTTCAAGAAAGATGTAGTGTCACAGTCCAGTCCCTCTGAGACTACAGAGCTAGTGGCTTCTGACGGTTATAGGAACAGAAACTGGAAACAACGGAGCAGAAAAATTTGAATCTATGTTTTCTGTATCAAAATATCTTGTGTGTTGCAATTTCCCTTTACAATCTGGGACAAATTAGAAGAGTCAGCCATGATCCTTCTGTTCTTGCAGACAATTAGTATCTACATTTCCCTCTAGGAGATATTGATTCCAGTGTTTCAGAAAAGGAAAAAAGCAACCTGTCCAGGAGGAGGACAGTTAATTGAAGACAGAATTATAGACCCAAGTATATTGCAAAGAGCTTTTACTATAGATAACATGCCAATATCCAATTATATGCAATTAGAAATTTTTATTTCCCATTCCCAAGAATTAGCAGGTTTTTATAAATGACATATAGAGACTGAAATGAGGATAACAAACCCTGGAGTCTCCAAAGGACTTATTTTGAAGTTACACAGTAAATTTATTAAATGTGATATGGAAGGCAGAGGTAATGACATGCAGATATGGGAAATACTCTAGATAAGAAGATTCCCTTAGAGCACTAGTCACGTACCGAGGTATGGCAATTACCGGTTTAGGCATGTCATAGTTGCTAAGCAGTGAATCCCAGCACTGTCATTTACGCGGAGTCAATAGTGCTGATCAGCTGCAGAATACGTAGAATAGAGGATGTCTTTGTTGATGTTTAGTGGGGATGTCCCATACCTGGAAATACTGATGAAGAGTTCTTAGTCTCACAGATCTCAGGTGGAAGGACTTACCATGTTGTATCACATCGGGTAACTGTTTCATTAGAGAATCATATTTACAGTCCTCACCTGCTGTTTCTTCAGTTCCTTAACTGAGACTCCTCCATCAGCTTTTACTTCAATATACTCAAAATATTCAGAACATAAATAATAAACTCCAATCATTCTGGTCACTTCAGTGACCAACTTTTAGACAACCTCTCAGTGAAGAGCTGGAAATTTGATCTGACAATAAAAAAAGAGAGTGAGTTTTACAATCTTATTCATATCTATCTAATGGTGTTTATTTCATCTTGAAGAGCTAAAAACTGAGAAGAGTTCTGTTATTCTACAAAGCACTGCCGCCTTCACTGGGAAGCGACAGCATATGTGTCTTGCCACAGGTTCTAGCCCTACGTCACTGGCTGTGTGGCATTCTCAGTGCTATGGCACACGGACCCCTGAGCATAACTGCATTTTCAGAAAACTTTTACCTCTTCTGTTCCTGCTGGAAGTGTGTGCTTCTAATGTTTTTCTAATTCTCTGCTTGCTAACAACTTGCTGCTGATGCCATGGCTAACTTCTGTATTGAATTCAGGTCCAAGAAGTGGGTACAAAACCACAATATGGTACAGCTTCCTTGTTTACCCTGCTGCAACCAGATAGCACATTTTATTCTTCCCTCATAACTGCAAACCAAGTAACAAATTAAGTACTCCTCAGCACAAAATAAAGATGAGGGCCGTTTATAGCAGGCTGTTTAACTTTGACAAAGTTAGGTGTGCTCACAAAATTCTGTGTGCAATATGTGCACTGTGTTGCACATCCATTTAGCACATGCACCGATCTGTGTATAATGTCTATTAGGTATCAGACACGTTCCACAGACTAAAGTAAGGCCATCTTTAGTCCAAGGATGAAAAAAAACCTGCATGTGTATAATAGTTCGAATGCCAATAAGGTTGGCTGCTTCCTAAAAGAAGAGCATGAATTCTAGATCCGTGTTTCATTGCCTGTCGGATTTCTGAGAGCTCCCAGCATCCGACAGCTCCAGGTGGTCAACAGAAATGGCGGAGTATTTGGGGTTTCCAGAGCCAGGGGATATCTATTTATGCCTAGTAAATACGTTCAAAATATCTAGTGATAGCTATAAAGTTATGCAAAGCTTTTAACAGTGTTGGCTGTTTACAGTGGTGCTATTTGCTGTTTATCCTTGTCTGCAACCATTTTCTATCCATTGCTTCCGCAGTGGCCAGTGGTTTAATCCCAAAAGCCTGGCTAGGAGACCTGCTTTGTGAGTTGTTCCATAGTGTGAGCTATAGTTTTTGAAATGACATTGAATGCAACTTGATGTTGTTTATACTTGTGACCAAACAGGCCACCCCCATTTTCGGTTTGGCAGTTCGTGTTGTTGCCTATCCTACTTGCCATCAACATTTTGAGACTGATTATTTAGTAACAACTGTCTTCTAATACCAGAAATGTGTGTTTCCTTGTGAAAGCATTTGTCAGCGTTCCTCCACCTAGTCCAGCTTTGCCAGCTGTTTGCATTTTCTTACCGTGTCTTTTTCTTACCTATGGACTTTGTATTAAGTCTTTGCTGAGCCCCTGCCAGCCTTCACCATTTGAGACTAACTCTTAAAGATTTTTAAAATACATTTTTTTACTGTAGGAAGAATAAACTTTTGCAGGCTAGTAGAGGTTAGTAGATAGGGTAGTATGGAATAAGATATGATTTAATTCCCACTTAATAGCTTTCCAATTGTTTTCTCAAGGATGTCTGTTCTTTGTGATAATCCCTTATATTTGCTATTGTTTCATTTCCTGCTGGTCTCCCTCTTACAGCCTTTTTCACTTTAATTTCTGTGCCTTCCAGCAGGATGATACCACACAGGTAAACTGTTGTTTATAAACACCCCCTCCCCAAATATGTGCATCTTTCATGTCCGTTTTGCCACTCATTTTCAGTGTTGGTCGCACAGAGTTCGTTGCCATGATTTGTATTCACAGTGAAGGTTCTTGAAAGGGATGCAAATGGTTCTACTGTTAAACTGAACTGCATCTCAACATCAGGTCTTTTCCTTCTTGAACAACAGCCCCTTCTACCCTGTGTAAAACCTTTCCCTTCTGTCACATCCCACAAAATGTATGCTGATAGTTCACTCACTGTAAAAGTGCTATGTGTTTAATTGCCTTGTTCTGAGGAGTGTTAAGAGCATCACTCCCTATGTATGGATGAATGAAACAAGCTCCAGGGAACTCGAGAACTGAGGGATGGAGCTACTACATGGTCTCTGGTGCAAACCAAAGCTTGGGTTCCATGGCAGTATATGGAAATAGTCTGGGAGAAGGTAAAGAAAGTTGTAAAAGAAAATCATTTAGTTTCCAGACTGTAAAAATGATCCAAATTATTAACTCTACTAGGAAAATGAGCGTAGTCCTTAGTTTGGTAGAATCAAGTAGGGTACAAAATGTGGCCCAGAGTATACAGATACTTGTCTTTGTTATGATAAATTTTTATACAACTTTTAGGTCACTAAGTTGAAGTTTGTCTGTCTTGCTTCCTATTTTGTAAAAGATTTTTCAGTGTATTTGGGATGGTAGCAGACTGATGAGTGCTGATGATTGTATCACTTAGGGCAGAAGTTTGTTGTCTAATAGTTAATACTAATGTAATGTTACCGTTTGGGAAATGGCTGTTGAAAGATCAGGTGAATTTAGACCGAATGACTGCAAGAATGTAGTTTTATTCTGTAAGACAAACCTGTAGAAATGTCTGATAGTACTCAGGATAACAGCATCACATCTCACATGAAAGAGAGTGCTTAACAGCATCGGACATTTTATGTAACAAAGAGTAAATCAAGGAGATGGCATGTCTTTTATTCCTGTACCATCTGTAGACTACAGTGGCTGAAAGTCATTGATTGGGTGTAAGATACAATGATGTAACATATTCTGCAGAGGAGGTTCTTTATTTAATAGTTACTTGTGAAAATATCTCTAGAGAGCTGTTTAGTAAGCAACTAACAGTTCATTTTCACAAACAATTGAAATTGGTCCTCCTGACCCTCTGTTGTGGTGCATTATTACAGCTTTGACCTTTGAAACAACATACATAGTGTGTTTAGTAGAACTAAGATGTAACTCAACCTTTTAAATACCAAAGACCGGTATCATTTCTATGGTAATGTAAATTCAGCATTAACTGCACCAAGTTAAATTTGAAAAAGTGAAAAATATAAAACTGTGACATTAAAAATTAAGGTAATTTATTTTCTATTTGCTGGATCTCCTAAGCATAAGCATTTTCCCTTTTATTTCACTGCTTCTTAAGTCTTTATCATGGATTTAAACAAATAATAATGTAATGAGACAACAGTACAAAGGCATATATTCTCTTGTTCCAGTACAAAAAAGAAATGTGCCTTCAGCAAATTTTCTTAGCTCGCTTGTTTTAAAAGGCAAGAGCTAAAGACCAAGTCATCTACTGATCCAAGAAAAGTGGTATGACAGCAGAAGCTTGCTTGGAGAAGAAAATTCTTCTGTGGTTTTGGATTGTCTTTTGATCCCTTTTTATCCATGGGGACCATATAAAGCCAGGTCAAGGTGGCTGGGTTCCATGGGATCTGCAGAGTGGTCCATATTTGATCTTGAAGTAGTTCAAGCCTTTGCTAGAGGACTTGTTAAGCTACAGTGTTTCTGATATCGAAGGCCTCAGAATGGCTTCTTGATATCACTGCTATGCTAGAAGTTGATTAGGTTCCTGTCACAAATGTTGACAGTAGTTCTCAGTATTATTACTTGTTATTATTCAGTGTGGTTATTTTCTTTTTGGTTTTGAGATGTTTATATGGAATAAATGTTTTTCTTACTTTCATACTAGTATTTAAAACCTTTATACCACATTTATGTGTGCAGTGTCTGTATTGCCAAACCACAAATGGCTATTAAGAATATTTTATTTTACAGGAATAATAAAGAATAGTTACGGCCTTTTTTTCGGAAGTGAAAAATAGGTGGGATATTTGTAGTTGTCTTATTCAAAATTTAATGACTATGTGGTAGCTTGTTTCTACTTTGTTTTATTTGGGGTTTTTTTTGGGGGTGGCGTTTTTTTTCCCATAAGCACAAGGCATTTCAGATTGGAAACAAAAACATGCAAATAGGTATTTTAGTAGTACCTATTGTTCATCAATTATTAAAATACAGCTGATTATGTAGTGCTATAATAAAATGGTATTACAAGGTGGAAGTATTTCTTGAAGAGCTATTTAATTTTAAATGTCTGCATCCGAAGAGTGACTGGCTTTGAGGACTCTCTCTGGCAGTTTGATTCGCACTCCTCACTGATCTCAAGTATTCGTATGCTTCCAGAAGTGTCCCTTCCATTTCAGTATGGATATTAATGAAATTGGGTATTGGTCAGGGTTGCTACTACTGACCTTTTGTTAAAATTTTTATTATTGGTGATGATGTTTCTACCGTCTGAAGAAACTTGACCTGTTCATTTTCAGTTTCTGCCACAGAGGCCACATTCTACCAATCCTGACTGCATGACTCCACATGGAACTATCCTGCATCAAACCTTGGATTTTGATGAGTTCATACCGCCAATACCACCTCCACCCTACTACCCACCAGAATATACCTGCACACCAGTGATAGAGGCGCAGAGGTGATTCTTCTTCCCTGTAGTTACAGTCATCGCATAGTTCTGAGCTACAGACTATGAAACTCTTTCAAAGAGTATGAAGCCAAGTAATGTCCTTCACTTACATTAGCTGTTTCTTTTTCCAGAGAGATCACGTACGTTTTTTGCAAACTTGTTAGGATGCACTTGGAAATACTTGTGTTAAAGCACTGCTGTAATAGAGAAGTGATTGAACTTAGCTAAGACAAGCATAACAATATCTGAACTTAAAGCAGAGATCAGCATGTTAACATTTTACACTTGAAGTTGAACATAAGATTTAATTTTCTAAGGAAGTCATTGCAGTTAGTGTGTATTATTGTGGAGTACTGAAGGACATTAGACTGCAAAACAAGCTGGTAGAAATGGGTGGCATCCAAAATGAAATACAATTTTTAAAGCTACCCTGTGAATGAGGGCTTCCTTTTGGTTGTCTCATAAATTTCTTCAATATAATTCTTTGTAGTATATTGGCTTTGAATTCAGAAAATGCTCCACATCACTGTGGTATAGGTAATATTTTACCAAATAAATCCAACACAATTTCTAAATAATTAAGTTTGCTTGTTTGTGTTTTCAAACAGAGGTCTCCATTTGGACTTTCCTCATTCCCCATTCAGTGCTTTATATGAAGTAACCATTAACAGCCCGGGAATGCTGTACCCAACTGAGCTGCCCCCTCCTTATGAGGCAGTGATTGGAGAGACGCCTGCCAGTCGGGTAAGGAAAGCCAAAGGCAATTCTTTACATAGTCTTCAAATTTTCATGATGCAAAACAATTTTAGATAAATTTAATTATCTAAAACAATTTAGGAGTTAATTGTACTTTGGGGGAACAACCATTAGAAAATATTTTTATTCTTTAAATGCATTTTTCAGACCATTCTTTTTAAAAGGGTTTAACTAACAAATTTTACTTAATGTGTATTCTCCTTATGTTCTTGTGCGTGGTTGGGCAAATGCTTATGCAAGTAGTAATATTTCAGCTGTTATCATCCGTTAAAAAAGTAGTATGATACTGGACTGTCCGTAACAAAAACCTAGAAGAATGGATTGGAATCACCGAAGCACAGTGTTTTTCCTTATTTGAAAAGGATAATGGTGTTTTAAAATGAGATTACATTTCTTAATTTCTATAGGTAATAAGGAATTAGGAAGCAGGTTTATTTTCTTAAAAACCATTACAACTGTAAAATATTTTTTATTCCAACTACTGATGATAGTGGATTTGCCTCACTTTAATATACTGCTTTTAGTTGGAGCTCAGTACAACAGTGTAGGTTTAATAAGGAAAAAGATAACTGTGTGTCTTGTGACACGTGATGATAATAGCTTCTGTATGTTTGTGTACGTGTGTATATAGCATAGAGCTCATGGGACATTCGGTTTTGCTCTGCATTGATCTGAGCCAAGATAATTATGAATTCCCATTTTAAACTCTGTGTGTAGGTAGAACATGTACTTGAAAATTCCTAACAAAAATCTCTGTAAATAACCTCAGATTAACAAAGTTAAAAATACACATTTGCAGTCCTCCACTTATGTCAGATTTCAGATCATGTTCTTGACAAGTACTGGGAGCATCTGGTAATAGTATAGGTTCTTATAATGGTATGTGCTAGTCTCGACAGGATGCCTTGAACTCAGTGCCAAATTTATGCTTTACTAGTTGTAAGATACAGCCTCCATAAGGAGGCTCCTATCAGGCACCAACGTGCTAGAAACTGATTCCTGCCTCAGTGGTACATTAGCTGATAAGAAACCATATGGAGCAAAGATTTGAATGATAAAAGGATAGGGACGTGTTCTTCCTATGACATAGCAATGAGTAGTTCTCTATCTATTGCTTATACTTTTGGCTGTTACAGCTTTTAATAGCTTTTGCTGTTATATGGCAGAAACAGTTACTCCTGAGACTGCGCAACACCTTTATTCTGAACTTGGAGAAAGGATCCAGTATACTTCAGACAAATATTTACGTTACACTTTTTGCCTTTTTTTTTTTACTATATAGTGTCAGCTCAACTGAAACTAGAATTATAATATATCTGCATGTACAGCCAAAGCTAATTTGAGCAAAGTTTTGCTTGAAGCGATTTGTGATAATTGAATCAGCTGTCACAAATGGGAAAATACTTAAAATTGCTTTTAGAAACTGTAATTTCTTGCAGGCTTCAGTAAAAACTCAAGGAGTCAAACATTCTAGATATTGGTTATCAGTTCTTAATAGCACATAGTGGAAATATGTGCGTTCAGGTTGCCAAATTGCACCCACGTTACAGAGGGGAGTACTTTGCATTTCCCCAAAACATAACATTGAAAAGTTTGCTAATGATTGTTTTTCATATTGGGGAAACCACAACCAGAGCCATAAAACTAAAGAAATTATATAAATTTTTACTATTATACATAAGAAGATTGTTAAGACAGTAATAAGACAAGGTTCTGAGGAAAAAAAGACATTGAGATGCACAGTCCCCGACAAAAATGCAATTAAAGAACTCCAAGAAGCTGCCTAACTTTGCAGCTTCTATGACTGACAAAGCAGCTTCCGACAACTCTTCTAATCCTTGCCTTGTATCATACCCTCTACCACCTGCCACAATAAACAGGCCAAACATTGCACTACCTTTGATTTATTTGGCTATAATAAAATGAATCGGTATAAACTGCTTGTGACTGAAGTTCTTTTCTGAACAGCAAAATTGGAGTTTCCAAGGCTGTCTCCTTTCTAAAATATTTTTTATCCAAGTTCCATCTTTTTTCCTTTACAGTAACTCAGAGGAACCTGCAAGCCCTGAAGGAATTGATATTTTTCAGTGATTAAAAAAAAAATTGGCAAAAGCGATATAAATTATGCATGGTGTGGGGGAAAAGAGAAGGATCATGTTGTGATAAGAATTCGTAGGTACTACCACGTAAGGTTTAGAAAAGTGTCTATACTTAAGCACAAAATCACTTTGAGCACTCTTGTAATTGGGATTACACTTCGCATGAGCATTGACATCCAGCATCACAATAGCACCAGCATATAACAAAAGTATAATTTAACAAGACATAATTTAAAGCAGCAAAATCATGCTCTTGCAAGAAGAGCATGAGCTTTAATAAGTAGGTGTATTGACTGTTATTTTTTGGCAGCTGGGGTCAGTGTCAGTGCCTTGCCTATTCATCTCTGGCCACCTGGCTTCCAGAAGTGTTTGTTCTAATCAGAAGCAAACACGAGTGGTGATTTTTAATTTCTAAATGTGGTAATTATATAGTTTCTTACAGGAGTGAGTTTATATATGCCTGGTAGTTGCTGGTTCAGAGAGCTTGTAGGAGCAAAATAACAACAGGTGCTGATATCAGAAGTGAAGTACATTGGCAATGCTAGCTAAAGCCTACACAGTGACTTTGTAGCCACTTTTCTTGACAACAAAAGCCCTAACGTTTTTTTTTTTTGCAGTCAGTGTCCCAGTCGATATGTAAATGGAGGAATGGAGCCAAAGTCTAAGACAGTTTTAGGTCTACAAGAGGAACAAAATGGAGTCCTAAATTCTTACATGATGCAAATGCTCCCATATAATATGCACCAAGCTAAGTATAGTACGAACTGAAATAACTCGATTTATAAATCCCTCAAAGGCAGACTTTGCAATGGAAATCATGGCAGAGCTTTAACTACAGAAGTGCTTCTGGAAACCATTATGTAATAATGTCATAATTGTAAAACCTCTTACTGAGCATCAAGCAATAGGTTTTGTTTGTTTGTTTTTAAATGGATTTAGGTCCTTAGAATTTTATTAAATTGTATCACATTAGACTCAATATGTGTCGCGAATGAGTGGTTTTGAGGCTGCTTACAGAATCACTGGCAAAGGTATCAGCAAAAAGTGATTTTAATAGACATTTATAAAACGCATTTCATGGACAACAAATGTCAGTGCTAATTTAAGTAGTTGCATCTAAGTAAAAATTGCTGTTGTCATCTGTACCGGTTAGGAATTCCCATTTTATGACTATGAAAAAAAGTGTTTTTCACAATGTTTTCCATGCAAAGTATTGACTAGGATATAGAAAATTTATTGACTAGGATACAGAAAGAACAAACAGATCAGGGTTCTGGGTGAATTATACCAGTGACTGTTCTATAAGGTTTACTAACCTATAGGCTGTGCAGGCTTGTTAAAAGCATGGTTTTTCTTTCCTTTTCCTGTTGATAGCTTAGTGACAGTCTTTACCAGCTTTATGTCTGAGGATGTGCAAGTCAATAAGGTTTTGTTACCCTAGGCTGTGCAGGAACCTGTATGAAACCACGTGCCATCCCTATGTCAATCAAGACTCTGACCTGCCTAAAAATTGTCAGTGTTACCTTCTACAATTAAAACCATGGTTCTCCTTCCCCCAGGCAAGAAGGTTAATCAATTCCAAATGCATATGAAATACATTCAGTAATTATTCTTGTGAATGGAGAAAGAACAAGAGAAGGAAAAGGAAAAATAAACACATTGATCAGATAAGTTTAAGTGGCTTATGTTTTGCAAATTATGGCTAAATACTGAAAAAAGTAAGAGAAGAAACCAAATTCAAATTATATCCCTGAATTCTTCTGCATGCCTGAAGTCTTGAAATCTCTCGTTTTCCCACTATTAAGGATGCTAGTTATCAATGAGGGCCTTAAGAGATAAACTTTAAAGATGATGAGTGCTTTTCTGTATGTGGCAGATTTTATATAGAGGGGAATATTCAGAGTCTTCCATCTGGTCTCAAGAAGCAATTTGTGTGTGTGTAAATTTGTCCCATCTATTTGTCATATTGTTGCGGTTTGGCTGTGGGCTTTGTTGTTTTTTTGTGGTTTTGTTTTTTTTTTTTTCCCTAAGTTCCAGCAGTTGTAATTAGAGAAAACTGTAATATTATATAGTCTGCGGTGTACAAGCAAGCATCCAGAAGTTAAGCTGTGAGGCCGTGTTCTTTGATTCACATAGTAATGAGTCACCTCCAAGAATGTTGTTTATGCAGCCCCATGTCTTTAGGTATGTTGCTGCAAGGTTTTCAGCCTCTGTAGGAGCCTCTGAGATTGAGGCAGAGCCTGAGAAGGGATGTGATGTGCGGTGGATGAGCTTTTGTGTCCCTCTAAATTCGAAAGGATGTGAAAGGCTGATACAAATCTCACTGCATGGAGGAGAGTGCTGAGAACGGTTCCCCTCTGTAGTTTCCCTGCGTAAAACATGAGTCCTTACCCTAGGTGAGCTGAAGGACTCTCAATATTAACGCCTAACTGCAAGGTAAAATAGTTTGTCTCCCACCCATGTTGGAATACACCTTGGGTCCCTGGTGTGTTCTGTGCAAGCTCTGTTTCAACAAGATGTCAAAGCAGAGTACTGATAGCTGCTCTGTGGCTTGTGTCAAATGAGCTTAGTTGTCTTATTCCCAGGTCAAAAAATTCTGTCAACGCTATAGTTGTTCCCTTTGGCAAACTAAGCAGAGACTAAAAAAAAAAGGACATGAAGATTGAACTGTTGTAATCTAGAAATGTTTGTGTAATAGGAAACTAAGGTATGTAAATATAAAGTATGTATTTCTTCTGCCTGTAAAATAGTGTATTTTTTTTGAGAGAGGCAATATTTTGATTTCAAGAATTGCTAAGCCAGCTTTTTTCACAAGCCTTAAGTTTTCTTTATATGGTGTATAATAATGTTACTATTTTAAATGTACTAGATCAAAGCTACCAAAGAACCAAAGATGGTTCTTTTTCATTGGTACAGGTTTGCCAAAACCTCAGCCTTGCATGTAATTCATTGTATAGGTATTAGGCCATTTTATAGGTACCAGACAATGACTAGACACTGTCACTACAGCTGCCAGGTGACTGGGAGAATGTAGAAGGTCAGTAAATGTTTCAGCACAAATATTCGGCAGATATTTTCCTGTCAATGATTAAGAATTTGTGAAACCACCTAGATTTAAAAAGAACCCCTGGATTTTTAAAAAGAAACAAACACCCTTAAAACATTATATTATTTCTTCCAAAATATAGTTAGTCTGACTGAATTTTCTCCAGCAACAAAGGGCATTTGAGAACACTTCTTTTCCAGTAAGTTCCCAGCAGTTCCACAGCTCATTCCCAGCAGTTCCACAGCTCATTCCCAGGAATGGTCTGCAACTTAGAGTGACACCACTAATTTTTTTTTTTTTTTTAACACAGATGCGATTTTCTGCTTCAATAAAGAAAGATCCTTTAAGAAATTTCCAAGCAAATTGTTTAAAAATATGAGTGATTTCACCTTTGCTTCCCAGTCCTCTATCCATCTATTGCTGAGTTAAAGTATTTCTGGTACTGTTCTTTGTTTAGAGTTGTATTCACTAACCCTTAGACTTAGAATCACTTTTAAAAACTAAATTTTTATCAGAATAAGTTTCCTGATCACTCGATCATAATAAGCTATGGATAGATAGATATTAAAAAAAAACATTTAGTGAGCACAGTAAGTTATGCACCTATATGTGTGCTTTAATCTACACTGGCACGTGCACTGGAAGCTCTTTCCTTAATAGCTTCGAAGTAATAATGTCACATTCAATTTTTTAGAAGGCCAGATACAAATTAAGCTCTTGACAAAAAGGTTTTCACAGAGGTGACTGATGGTTATTTCTAGACTCTGTCACCAACTGTAATAAGCTTTTACTACAGACAGAACCAGATATGATGCTTTCTGCTAAAGATGGTATCAATCTCATTCCCTTCGACTTTTCTTTTTATATTTTTCTCATTTATTGTTACCAGCTACTTATTGGAACCATTTTTCTAATAATCACGATCCCAAAGAACTGCTAAAAATCTAATGAGATTGGCAACAAGGTCCAATCCAAAGTCTGTTAAAATCAGTAGAAAGAAGATTTCCTAAATTTCAGGTGTTTATGGATCAAGTCTTTCCAGCAGGACTGCTTCTGTGTTTTGTTCACATGATTCTCAAAAGTGAAGGGAAGTTACCCACTTAGATCCATCCTTTCAGAAAAAAGCTGAGTCCTAGTAGTACCTCCCTTCAGCAATCTCTGAAAGGCTGGAGAGCACCCTGCGTCCGCCATGTTGGGTGGCAATGATGTTATAGGGCTTAAAAATACATCAGGTGTTAACATCTCAGCAAATAACCAAAGGAAAATACTGCTCTTGCACTTGTTTTTATGGTTTCTGTTGTTCTCTATCCTATTTTAGGGTGATATAATGTGGTGGGAAAAAAGTATAATATGGAAAAATGCAGACTGTAGAAAAAGAGATTGCTTGTAATAAAACCATTAGTTTTAAGCATTGCAGACAGTAAGTTTTGTAATGTGGGCCTGCAGTCCCAGCTGCCTGTGAATTCAAGATGAATTTAGCTTGTAGATTCTGGAAAAATGAGAAATTGCTTTAAGCACGTTCATTTGCCCTGCATTTGTTCCTGACCCAAAGACATTGTAAAATACTATATCTTTAAATAGATTTCAATCTGAATAGCAGCTTATATGATAGTTATTTCACATTGGTAGGTGTGTTCGTAAGATCATCAGCGCTATATTTTGTTTTGGTAAATTGCAGATTAATGTGCCGTTTCATTAAACAACTTTCATTTAGGTCACTGGTACTGATCAGCAAGTACCCGAATCAAGCGTGGGTGAGAGGAACATGACCCTGGACTTCAGCACACAAGGTAATCGTGGCATTGTGTTTGTCTACTTGAGAAAGATGTAGTAGGATTTTTGAGTGGACTTTTCCTTCTCTTCTGCCCTTCCCGATGGAGAAGGAAGGATTTGCTTTCAGATTGTTCATGGCAAGAAGAACCTTTTCACAGTCATAAACTGATGTGGCTGGAAATGCAGAGGAGAGTTTGCTCAGCAAAGCATGCTCTATAAAGCCCTTTGAGGCAGATACGGCAATTTCATTTCTCTTTGAAGAGTCATGCACGTAACTGGCAGTTTGTTTCTCATTGTCAGCAACTGTGGGTGCCTTCCTGATAGTCCACATGCCTTCTCCAGACAGTAGTTTCCTGCAGGCTTCCAGAAGCCTGAATAGGAAGCTTGCTGCCTGAAGCGTAGATGTTGTGAATGCCAGTAGAGGAGTAGCAGCACAGAGCCTGTTTGTTTAAAGTTTAAGTTACTAGAATAGGTCTCCTTACCATGTCTGCTGATTTGGAAGGCTTTTTAAACATTACAGCCTCAGTGGATCATGAGATGTTGAGCAGTTTGTATGAAATAATTATTTTAGTAAAACTTCCATTAAATACTTTATCCACATCATATTCGTATCATATTAATGAATAGACTAGCAGGTGTTCTCAGTTAGTACACTTACGGGCAGAGAGGTGGTGGCAGAAACAGTCCTCTCTCACCTAGCATCCAGAACGGGACCGACAGCCTAACAGATAAGTGAGGAGCATCTGTTCCTACACAGAGTATCTGTTCTGTGAAGAAGGATTTCAGTTTCCAGAGCCACCAGTGGTCACCTTTAACTACCGCTAAATTTTTTTTTTAAAACTCTTGTGTTTGATAACTGCAATGGAGCATGACAACTGAAGATGACTAGTTTTTAAGTGCTGCTGTTAACAAGGGCTGTGCCTACAGAGCTAGTTCCCAAAGTTCATAAGTACATTTGGACTTCACATCCACATACGACAGTCTAAATTTTAAGGCCAGTTGCTAGTGTTTCGACTATTGGGAAGCAGTGGACCAGCTCTCTAGCCAGGTTTTGACGTTACATATTGTGCTGTGCGCACATGAAAGGGAACTAGGAAGGTCCTCGGGTGTATTTTCTTCATGTAAAATCAGTCAGGTGTCACCATTCCATGTCTTTTGAACATGATGATTGCTTCTCATTTGCTTCAGGCTCCTCCTCCTGCTGTCTGTATTACCAGAAAAGCCATGCCAGTGGAAGAGTAGAATAGTAAGAAGCTGTAAATACAGCTTAAGGCCCTTGAGTCCAGGTAGCAAGTGGTACAAACGACCACACTCTAGTTATCGATTAAATCGAATCAAACCAGAGAGAGTTTGGACAGTGAAGATCTGTGCTCTGAAGACAGGCACAAACTGGATGCTTTCATTTATCCATACAAACTTTATAGATATTTCAAAGCCTGAGTTAAGGGAATATGTTGCAAAGAATCGTCTAAATAGGTAAAAAATGTTTGAGGACTCATCACAAATATAAATGGTCCAATAAACCAATGCAGCTTTGCACCTAACACATAATAAGCAGTGCATATTATGCATTTTTAGCATAATGTAGATGTATAGATGTATTTCCATTATTGATTATTACGTCCTTTTTGGGAATCTTATGATTGCCTTTTAAGTGTTACAAATTTATTTCCTGGAAGCCCCAAAAGAAAATAGTTGTTGTGATTCATTTTATGTAAGAAGAAAATGTCCTTTGTAAAATCCAACCTCATGAATATTTGATTTTCATTTTGATAGTTAATTTCCGTGTACTGTAGAAAGCTTTCTGCTTCCTAGACCCCAAAACATGGGAGCACTTAACAAACGTTCTCTAATTCACTAAAAGATCCCATTTTTCTATTCCTGAACAAAGCAGTTAAAATACACTTACCAATATGGTTAGCAACAGCTGTTATGCAAAAAAGGGCATCAGAGGCTGCTGAGATGAATAGAATTATATGATTGTATTTTGTAAATATTTTGATTTTAGATGTAGGACTTTAAGGAATTCCAGTCTGATATGGGAAAAGTGTTGTCTGTTTGTTATTGGAGCCTGGAGACTGGATTATGTAGTTTTATTTTCTTTATTTTTGTCATGACTTTGGGAATAAAGCAGAGGCAAATATTTATTTTCATACAAGTGGCCATTTTCATCCACAACATACATTTGTAGACATGACAGAGGAAGTGATAACAATCTCAATTTTTAATACAAAGGCCTTCAAAGATGATGTAACCTTGCACAGAATGTTTAGCTTCTATCTGAAGTGTGTGTGTGACATATTTTGTGTGCCAGAGATGTTATACGATGGTGAATTCTCATTTGTAAAGAACTTCGATACATGCTTCAGGAAAACGATGATTGATTAGAAAGTGTTAGGTGCAAAGCTAATATTGACAGTAGTGATAGGTTTAAAAGTGATCAGAGCCATGTTTTTTCAGCATTTGTGTAAAGTTTTACTTTTTTGACCACAGGCAATCTCTCACTGTTTACCAGAGGAACCAGTGAAAGAGCTGTTCCTGTCCAAATGTAGTTACAGATAATACTTTGGTGTCAGTGCTCAAGTACGCTTATTAATTGAAGAAAATACTTGAGGACAGCACAAATTATCTTTGCTGAAGGACGCTAGAAACAAGTAAATTACTTCAGTCTTTTTTGCTTTGGCATTCTGTCATCTGAAAGCTTTTGAGTAATTATTGATGTACTTGCCAGTTACTAAATTTAAATCAGTGTATTGAAAACAGATCTGGGGGGGAATGGGAGAGGGGCAAGAAGTCTTTATTTCTCTCTGAATCTCTTGTTTTGCAGTTTGTGTTGAGAGCACCTCTTTGGTCTCTGAGGCTGTTGATACCCCAGACCTTAGCTGCTCCTCTGAAGATCTTTGTTCGCTGGAAGTTCAAGGATCTCTCCATTCTGCAGATCTTTCTCCCTACTGTACAACCCCCAAAGGGGCTACGGACCAGAGCTGCAGCACTCTGGATTACAGCACCCGCTGCAGGTTCCACAGAACTCGCTCAGAGGGTTTTCCTGATGAGGGTGACAGTTCCCACAGCCGAGCCTCTACAGGCAGGTCTCAAGGACAAGAAAAGAACTGTGCCCACGGCAGGTCCTTGGACTGTTCCTCAGAGAATTTCAGCCCCTCAGAAAGAGAACTGCAGAGTTCTGCTCAAGAGAGCAATGCCACGCCGCCTTTAAAGCAAAAGAAAATCTGCTGTGCGGTCTTTAGCCAGCCTCCTGTCCCTTCCCAGACTTCTCCCTGTTTTGGGCCCGCAAATACTTCATCATATGCAAGCGGCCACGAGAGCGCTGTCCAGCAGTATCAAATTACAAAATACCGAATTTCAAATATAGTCCGATCAACTAGTGACCCTGTATCATGTTCGTCTTATACAGAAGGTAAGTGTAGTACCACAAGGCTGATGGAGCATGGAACAAATGAGCAGTATGTGATTTATGCAGCAATTGGTGCTGCTGGAAATTATATGAAACGTTCCAACGAGGGTTGACCTATGTGTGAAGGCTTTAGTTCCATGCATTTTCTAGATTTGAAAATTTTTAAGAAGAATGGAAATGGGAAAAGTGACAGCGTGAAATTAATTTTGGCTTTTCTAAATTGCACCAGCCTTTCTGCAGTGCTCAGAAAACCATCTCTTGAGTAGATGCTTCCACCTCTCTATTATTCTATTGAGAAGCTAAACTTAAGAAGTTGAATGGTAGCTGGGGTCTATTTAGGAAATGATTAACTGAGCTGTCATGCTTGTAATACAGCAGGTTGTGTTTCCTGAAGGTGACACTGATGTTGACCGTATTGGTGCATGTCAGAGGCAGTCAGTGTGACTGTGTGGTTGCAAGTTGGACTGTACGGTGAAAAATTTTAAAGGACAAAGAAATGAAAGCTGAGGCACATGACAAGATGACAAATGAAAAGGAAAACTTTTGACTGTCGTGGATAAGCATCTTCTGATATGAATCTCCTTTTAGACAAGTAGGGAAGAAGAGAGGAGACATTGTAAGCTGAACAGCGTATCTTCATAAAAATACGCTTGTTAGTGGAAAAGAAATGTTTGATTTAGTAGAGAATGGCTTGATCAAATAAAACTGTCTAAACCATTTGAAAAGTGCAGGTTTTACAAAACGATGTAAGCTGTTTAGAGAGATTCAAAGGGGTAACCTGGAGAAGTGGTTTGAAAGTAAAGGTTAAAAGCTTTGTAAGATGTCATTGTAAAATGTAAGATGTGAGATTGTGCAGTTACAGATGCGTTCACTGGGCTTTCTAAGGGATCTAGAGGAAGAATCATGTGACTAGCTCAAAACAAAAGTAGACAAAATGCTGAAATAACTGGTTTAATTTAGGAAAATGATGCGTTGGTTCTATTACACTTTTTGCATCATTATTCTGTTTCTGTGAATATCAGAGACCTCATACTTAGCTCAATAATTGAATGTCTTTTACCTTTAGAAAGCTAGCCTCAGCATCCTATCCAGAAAAAGCGAATCTTTAATCTAGAAGTCTGCATTTATTTTATGAAATTTACTCTGCTAGGATATATGTGCTATGAAGCTGCTGTGCAGACAGTAAGGAGGACTTTCTGAATCCTTTCTACTGTGCCAAAGACGAAGAACAGCCCTTTCTCTCCTGGGTCACGCTCTGCAAGTTTTCCATATTGTGCTCCATATGCTCTTTGAGTAGTGTTTTGAGAGAGATTACTGTAGGCAGCCATATCTACATGTTCTAGCTGACTGCTGGGACACCTGGTAGAACAGATGCTCTGCCTTCATTTTTAACATGTCCTAAATACATCCATCATCTTTTTGGGAGAAGTGGCATTATGGGAATTATTTTGACTAATTTCTAAGTTCTTAGCCATACGTGAGTTGAGGGACACCGGTTGAACATTACTGAGAGGTAACTGGGCTTAGCAGAGATTGTAATAAAGGAGATGGTTCTAGAGATACTGATATACACACAGCAGAGGGGGGAGCAAGAGTAGTAGTAACTCAGAACGTGTTCGTGCTGACCTAGTTTGCTGTTCTTTTGCTGCCTACAGAAGACTCTAAAATGAAATCTTTAAGAGAAGCACTTGAGTCTAGATGTGCCTATTTCTTTCATTTATATGTTTGGCAAACTACAGTTTGCAAAATTTTACTCTGCGAAGGTTTTCACAACTTCACATCACTTCCCCTTCCTCTACTTTTTGTTGAACTTTATTTGGAAATCATACATCGGTTAGAAACAGCACAATTCTAGTAAGATGTACCGGCTGTTTGTAGCAGCCCTGAAGCTATTTTTCCTAAGCTGTGACGCACAGCTGAAGTTCTTTATAGTCCTTATAACTTTAAAAAAGCATTTGATCTAGATTTTTCATGACTGGCTATTGGTATATAGATCTCACTGCAGAATTTTAAAATACATCCACACAGTTGAACGATAGGCAAAGATAAAGGAAACCAACTGAGCTCCATCAACTAACCAACCCAGAAGAAAAAGTGTTTGGGTTTTTTTTTTCAGTAACATACACTTATTTTTTTAAAATTGTCCTGGAGTAGAAGAACTGGTCAAATAGACTGACCATATGAAAGACAGAGCTGTAACTACATATCGTTAATACTAGTAACTCATGTAAGAGACATACTGCGGATTTTGGAGAACTCAAGGGTGGGGGAGCTTCAGGCATGTCCACAAATGGGAAAATACAGTGGTCAGATTGGTAAGTGGGGTTTGGTTTTGTCTTAGGACCCTGTCTTTCTACTTCAAGAAAAATTATCAATTTATCTTCTGATTAACCTCCCTGAACAAGTCAACATGAAGAGATTTAGAAGCGCAACCTTGAAATTTACTTCGTAGAGTTTTGTTAAATAGATCTTGAATGTTACTGTGATCGCACTGCACATGGTTTGGAACATAAATTATTTGACACAGGGATGTTGCATGTGTGCAACAGCAAAGTGACACAACAGCAATGAGATCTAATAAATTAGTAATCTGGGAATTTTAACGCTGGCATAAAACTCTGGGCTTTTAGGTCAATAAAACAATTCATGTGCTTCAAGCACATCTTGACATGATGGGGTCTTTATGGTATGTATAGTCAATAATTCTCCCGTTAATCCTTTAATGCTGACAGTGAGCTAATTTATTTGTTTTGAAATACCTGTCATTTCTAGCAGAGAAATTATAGATGAAAGTTTAGTTTAATAGGTGCCTTTATAGTCACTGTGTAGACCCTGGACAATGTAAGTATGGTGGGTTCACATATAATCTCTGTAAGAAATAGTTCCCTCTTAAAAAAAATTACTTATAAATGAGTAGTTTGCACGTTTTCCCGTCTTTTTCCCATAAAGTTTATCGTAGCAAAGGAGGACAAAATCAACTTCTAGCACTGATGTTTGTTAAAATATACTTAATCTATAATCAGATATGATAGTCTATGTGGCTATATCAGTTAAGTGCCTGAGTGATTATTGTAGTGTCTGTGTTCCAGATAATTCAGGATAATGTCTAGTGGTGTAGTTTTGACTGTGCCGCAAGTACATTAAGCAGTATAATAATGGATGGGAAGACAGAACCTCTGAAGTGTCTCCTCTTAATAAGCATGCCATGATTCATGTGTTGCAGCACTTCAGCATAATAAAGCAAATTAAAGACAGAATAGAAACTGTCTCTTTTGATTTCTTATAGATTTTCGATGTTTGTAGCATCTTACCTTTGTTTTCCTTCATTTAATTATTCACTACTAGAGGGGATTATACCAGCTTTTCATTATAAACTTTCCCTGAAGATATGGAAGAAAAACTCTTCTAATCTACCTAGAAGTTCAAAATAGTTTTCAGTCTTGGAAGCAGATGTAAACAGCCTTACCATAAATGTGAGGGTTTATTCCATCTTGACTGTCACAAGCTTGAAATCAAAAAGACTGCACTGGTAATTACCGTATAGTGTGATCACATCATCATTGATCCTTGTGCTGGCATCCCAGAAACTCCGTCATTAGAAGGCAACTGTGTCTAGAGCTGTTTGTAGATGCTCTGTAACCACTTGTTATTGATTGGATCATCAGTAACCATAGTGGTCACCTGCCCATTAATTTCATCAATGGTGGATAGCATTCGTCCTGCAAAGAATGAGCATCTATAAAAAAAGGAGGTAGAAATATTGAATAAAATGCTGGTTTTGTAGAAATAAGAGGGATTCATCTTCCTTGTTTTTCCCATTTTCTAAGATAATCTCTGTCTGCCAAGGAAATACAGGAAAGTCTGTGGTCTGCCCCTAGCAGCGAGCCTTCCGTAGCTTCAGTGCTTAGGCCTGCAATATTTGATAGCTGTATAACAGAGAGGAAACCATCAAGCAGGAACTGTATCTTTCTATTTGTATTTATTTAACAGCTTATAGGACATTTCTGTGTATAGTAGCTTGTCTTTATGAATGGACATCTTGAAAGTAGTATTTCTTCTGAGTAGTTTCATTCTGTAAAGGAGATAATAAAAGATTCCAATGTTTTTTTCCTTGCTTTGGGCAGAGGATAGCAGGGGTTGATTGTGCTCTTTCTGTCTCTCTCCCTTTGGTTAAAGGTGGTAATTGTGCCTGGACCTCTCTATGTAGCCAGCATCAAGATGCAGGATTATCTCCAGCTACATTAGAAACAGGTGAGGATCAGTTTTCTAAAGCAGGATCATATGGTTTCCTTCTTTTGTTTTAAAAATAATTAAAAGCTTCTGATAGAGAAAATTTGGGGCAGAAAAATCGCTTACTAACAGCATACATATATGATGTACAGTGCTGATGGAACCAGCCTTTGAGTAAAAATAAACGCTGCAAATGAAGTCTTCTGGTTTAGTTTAGCATTTTTGCTTTCCTTGTATTTCTTACTAATCTCTCGTGTATTATTCACTGCTTATAATTTTCACGGCCTAGAAATAAGGGGAACTTTCTCCTTAAAGTTGGCGGGGGGTGGGGGGGGCAGGCCTAAACCAGTACAAGTTACATGTGTAACATTGAGTAGCTGGTATTTCCCCTTATCATTAATGTCAACTGAAGTCCCTGAAAGTAGAGGTAACAAAAATGTCTGTGATTTATGAAGTACTTTAATTACCCATCCTAAATGCAGTCCTTCTTGGTCATGCGAAAGAGTCTTACTCTTGACCCTTGGTTAAATAACATCTTGCAATGTTTCCTTGATTGCACGTTTTTGTTACTCTTCAGAAAAAACAGGCATTTTGTGACAAAATAAAAACTTTTGTGACAATATTTGTTTTGCCTTTTTTTTTCTTTTTTTTTTTTCTTTTTTTTTAACTTATTACTTTAAAGATATTCTTCCCCCCCTTTTTTAGTTCCCGTTTCTGGTTCTCACATGGCTGCCTCTGCTTGTCAGCATTCTTGGAGCAGTTTCCTACCAACTGGAAAACAGAGGGATACAAGGAAAATTGATCTACACCCAAAGCCGAAGGCTTTGCACGCAGTCTCAAAAGAGCGACCACACTCTTTAGTGGACCTTAAGGCCTATAAAGACACAAAAATTTTAGTGGCAAAATTTTTGGAACATTCAAACTGTAATCTCCCTCCAGAAGTACGTCACGTAGTGAACAGCATACGATCAGTAATAAAATCTGATGAGAGACACATGGAAGAAGCCATCTTCAGTGCCAATATTATAGACCAGGTAGGCCATTTAAGTTCTAAAGATTTTTTTCCAACCGTGATAGACACATACCTTATTTAAATGTTTTTACAGTTTTAAGTACTTCAGACAATTCCTACAAAAGTTCTTTTATAGTAACATGGCTTTAGTAAAAAATAATTAATATTTATTGGGCAGCAATGCATTTTACACTGAAGCACTTATAAATGCATTTAAAATTCTTCAGCTGGACCCAGTAATATCCTAGGAGATCTATAGGGAGCTGATATTTACACATTGATAATCATCCTCTCTTATTTCCAATGTCTTTCTGCACCTGTGGCTGTTCCATACATGAATTAGTGTTTATATATGGAGATACACAGAACTGACTTGGATCTGTTGTTTTTTCAGGCAAATGTATTTGTACAGCATAAGCTACTAGCTGAAAAGAATGGGTAGATATACAAGCAGGACCACGATCTATCAAAACAGAACAGTGCAGTTACCCTTACTCCTGGCCACAAGCATGATAATGACCCTTGCTAATTTTAAGAAAAAGAATTGAGAAATTGTGCTTCTCCAAATGAAGGAATAATGCATCTTCTCACCTTGAGTGAGAATAAAACAGACACAAGGCTTGGAAGGAATCCTATGAAACAAGGGAATTAGTAGTGGCATCAACTTCTGTTACCTAATACATGTTTAATAATAAATCTTCTTTGCAGGACGAAAGGTGATGAATCACCTCTTGCTAGTACTGTTACCAGAATGATAGCTATTGAAACGAAGTTCCTTTTATGTTGTCAGTTTTGAAAAGCAGAATGCTGTTAGCACTGACTAACCGCATTCAGGTTGCCTGTAGGGTTTCCACAGAGCTGGACAATGATTAAGGATACACGCTTGGGGGCTGTTCCTCCCCCCCCTTCTGAGATACTGTAACTCCTATGGTATTAGTCTGCTGATCCCTAAGTGAGGGAAACTGGCTAAGTGTTAAAATAGGATGTAATAACACTTAAACAGCATGTGAGATAGTGTGATGTGTAGCAGGAAACACAGCATTTAATCAAGCTTGCTGCAAGATTGATTTTGCTAACTATGAAGTAGAACAAAGAAGTAGCACCGTATCAGTTACCTCTGTAGTCACATGGGTTGAAAAGCAGTACTATCATGACATACTTAACAGAGTGTCAGTATGGAATTAAATTTTAACATTTTTATTGCTTTACAAAATTTATAGGTCATTAAATCCTCAAGGTTAGAAAGTTGAAAACTATTTTCTTTAAATGAAAAAATCATAGTTTCTCACAAAACAAAACAATATAAAAAATTTGAGTGTTTATGTAGATCATAAAACCGGAAACCAATGGCCCAATTTTTATCCTGTGTGGATTTCTTAAATCCAGGGAGACATACGTTTTTTTCACATTAAAGAAATAATTTCAGTAGGGTTTTTTTTTCAGACAAAAACCATTATTAATTAGTGAAAGTCCAGGGCATCCCAGCAATCTACTTAAGAAGTCACAGAATTTTTGGTAAAACAGTTGTATAATTTAGATTTGTGAAGTACCTTGACAGTTCTATTAACACCAAAATGTTTGTTTAGGAGGCTTGCTAGGTTTTAGTTCTCTTCCACCCTCAGCAAAGCTAGTGAAGCATCTCTTTCTCCTAAAAGAAACGAGTTTAATTTGCTCCAAACATATTTGTCTATTATAAGGCAGAGCTGCCGCCTTTTCATTCATATAGAGAGAACCAAATACTTGTTTGCGCCTTTGTTGATTCAACACTACAGTACAGATAGGAGGCCTGATGCCTTTCAAGCCCGACTGTGCCTTCCAGTAGCTGGTACTCAGCCCTGACCAGCTGTAAGAACAGGAGAAGCAGGAGGGTCTCTGGATGGCTGCACGAACACATCTCCTCTGGGAGAGCTCCATCATTAGATAACTTAAATGAATGATATTCAGGGACTGAACCTTTTAAATTAAAACATTTCTTACCCTGTTTTCCCCATTTTTCCTTCTCCATTCCTGCCCTTTTAAACAGGTAATTACGAGTTCCCAGCAGAATGTGAATATCTCTAGAAAGCGACTTCAAGAAGATCTTCATCTTCAGAGCTGTGGTGCTCTGAGCTCTCCAGTTGCCTTCTTACGTAGGTCCCATATCACTCGCAGTTTAGAGCGGGACAGGCCTCACAGTTTAATTGGAGTTTGCCGGGAGACCATCCTTTGATAATATTCACAGGTATGTGATTCCAGCAAAGAGAATTAAGGAAGAAACCAGGACTGGGAGAAATACAAGTAGTGGATGACCTAAAAAGGAAAAAGTGTCTTCCTTTGGAATTCCACTTTTTTCCAACAGCAGGAGGAGAACACCTGTTTTTCTGAATGTAAATTTCAGTCCTGATTTTTGCAAAATTTTAACTGATTTATTAGTAAAGTCATAACACGTTTTCCCAACCAGAAATGCGTTTATTTCACTGTACTTATAGAAGTGCTACTGATGCTGCCTAGCATTTCTTGAAAACCACTGCAAAACCACCAGAGACCGGCTGTACAACTTAAAAGTTGTATTTATTTAATGTACCTCAAAGTGTTTTAACTATGATCAGTGTTTTAATAAAAAGTATTTCTGGACTTTGCTTTTTCAACAACTTGATTTGGATAGAAATGTAAAGCTGATTCATACGCATATACAGTGCTGCTTCTAATCCATTTTTCCCGTGTCTTTCATGCCAGGCTAACTGATCTGTCCTATTAAAACTGCCCCCCCGCCCCCCAATATGTTGCCCTTTTAAATTATAGTAAAGGCTGCAGTGTGGTTTATTTTTGCTTTGTTCTGAATGCTTATGAGTTTATTAATGGAGTAGCATATACTATGAAAACTGACATTTAAGTACTCTGCGAATTGTGACCAAAAGATGCATTAGGGAAGAAGTCTTTGAAATTCTGCATTTCCAAAAAGCAGATTTCACAAACTTTTTACAAATGCCAACTGATAGGAAGTTAGATGAATTTTTATCTAGCAGAGCCTTGAACATTTTTTCAAAAAGAATTGTTACTCCAATTGTGTCACTAAAACATGTCTTTGTGGTTCTGCTGCATTTATGATTTATTTAACATTGATCTTAAAAAAAAAAAAAAAATTCAGAAAGTAAATATCATTGACACTAATTTGATTACCAGCATAAACACAGGTCTGCCAGCAACGTCTTCCAGTGCAAGCTTCATCCTGGCTCTCTCAGAGGAAATTGGAAAGGCCTTAAACAAGAGGTTCTCATAAAGAACCTACCACAGGTTGATGTTTCAGGATTTTAATTTTTTTGCAGCAGTGCTTGTCAGTAGCGTTAGTTTCCATTTGAGGTTTAATCATATACTGGTTTCATTTGTGTCACTCTGAGCTGGGCAGACGTCCTGTGAAAAGGTCACAAAGGAATGTAGCTGAAGATGGGTAGTTTAAGTTTTACAGAATCATCCATTTTAATGTATTTTAATTATAGCATGCTTCTGTATTGATGTGAAGTCATAATGACATCCAGTGGCAACAAGGTATGCTAACTGAAAACATCTACTCTCAAGATAATGATACATAAATTCCTAATTCAAGAGATTAATTCCTTTTTAAAAAAATAATCTGTAACCTTTGCAACTGCACTTAGATTAAGAATTAAATTATCTTCTACTTGGATTTTTTTTTATTACGTAAACTTACACAACAAACAAAATAAGCAAGCTTTCTTTATTATTTCAGATTTATTAGTGATAGTAGGTTAATTCTTTCCTAAGGTCAGTTGCATGCAACACACTACTCCTTGAAGTACAGTCATCTAAAGCTCTTTAGTTACTGCATGGTAAGGCTTCTTAAGTCACAGTGTATTTTCTTCAAGGCCTTGGCCAAAAAAAAAAAAAAATCTAGACGAAAAGTTACACCAATTAACATTTATCTCATAAGGAATACAACTTCACTACTAGGTTTTTTGTCTACACACATTCTAATACTGCTGATGGTGCTAGGTTATTTGTCAAAACAATTTACATTCAGAACACATTGCCGTAGGAATAAGAATGCTTTATAAAAGACAGAAACAGGTAAGCATGGCTTTCCCATTTTCAGCTAATATTAACAAAAAGGTAATATGCAAAAATTAAAGGAAAAAAAAACCCAGCCCAACACATACATTACACAACCTGTGCAATAAGTTATCCATGAAATAACTCTGTTAAATCATAAAAATCACAAGCATTAAAAATAAATATGTATCTAAATAAATATTTTGATTTTAATCTTGTGGCAATTATTCTTTATTTAGCATATGAAACACTTGTTACATATTTATGTTCACACCTTGCCAAACAGGTTACACTTGTCATAACAATACCAAGTACTACGGTGGTTTTCTTTACATTAGAATCTAAAAGTTTTAACTGCACACATTCCTTTCCACTGAAATACCATCTATTCGGCACCAGTTTTAAAATTATGCAAAGCCATCAGTATTGGACCACTTTATGGGACTGGGATTTTTTTTTTTTTAACTTGAGGCAGCCATAACTTTCTCTAATTGCTTCTCTTTGCCATTTCTTGCAGTCTCATTCATCAAATATTCACATTCACCATGTTATCAAACAAGACAGACATACATACGTCACTCCACATAAAGGTTACAAATAAATATGTTTTAAGTTTTATGAGAAAAGAGTTTAGAAGATGTTGCAAAATACTTAAATGTTTTACAAAGATTTTTGTCAGTGATTATTGTCCTTGACCATCCTTCTCATCACTTTTTGGCAAAGAAATAAAAAGGAAGGAGAGAAAAGGCAGAGACACCTGTCTGTTCCTTGTTTCGGAGTCCTCAGGTCAGCTTCAAAGCCTTTCATTCATACAAAATACAAAATTCTCTTCAGCTATGAGGGCTTCAGCTGTGATGGAATTATTTAGTTATTTTGCTGCAAGAGAGTCGCATGCTAGATGTATAGGGGTGTCTCTTGTCCAGTTAGAAGCCTGAACATGGCAGCTGGCATAGTCTTCATGTGAATCTGTCAATTGATTTACACAGAAATTAACAGAATTGTTACTAGTTTAAAATAATCCATAAGGCCCAATCTGTCTCTCCCTGTGGTGTAAGTGCATTTATTGTCCTGGTTTCTATAGATGTGAATGTTACCAAAGTTTCTAGTTCAGAGTTCTCCGTTTCTGACAAGCTGGTTTGCTGTATGCTTTTTTTGTGTGGTTTTTTTTTAAATGACAACAACAAGATGCAAGATCATATAGCTAAAAAGACACCTAAACACTTTCTATTGTTATCCCCTACTCCAATTACAGCCCTTAAAGAAGCAGGACAAGCCTCTCTGAAAATTCATTCTGCTGTTCTGGTATTAAGTGAACTTCGATTTTTTTCTATCTTCCTTCCCTGTGGGATTGTCATTTTGTACATGTTTTCTCCTAATTGGAGTAAGATCCTCTGAACACAAAACCTGGAATTTAAATGTCAGTCAAGAGTTTGGTGGAACAGATTCTCTCATGGCTAGTGTATTTAAGTTCTTTCTACAAGGAGTACTGTGATAGCGTCAGAGGAATTTTACAGACTAACAGGATTAAAGGCAGGTTACTAACAGGTAATCAGAGTTGCATCAGAAATGTAGTAACAGCTGTAAGTACCTATCAGACAACACAAGAGGAAGGAACTTTACTGATAATACAATACAGACCCTCACCAGTCATACATTGCCTTGGTATCTTGGTCTCTTTATGCTGAAAAAAAAAGTTTCATGTTGTCCTCATACGTTTAGTGAGATGGTATGCAGCAAAGAGGTACCATAAAGGCATGGAGGTTCTATTGAAATCTACAGCTTTGTTCCTGCCAACATGCATGTACCCTGTATTATTTTTCAAGTATCATTTTCCACAGGAAAACAAGTTATCTTTGATTTTTGGCGAAGGAACTAGTGAAAGATCTGGCCAGGGTTGTGTATGATACTACCACTAAATTCAGTAGGGATTTTGATAAACTGGAGGATCTTGTTCATTCATTGCTGATTTCTCTAGAAGTACTGGAGAGAGATGTCTTAACTTATTCCCAAGGTAAGTTAGAAATGTTCAGTGCAAAGGAAATCATTAAAATACATATCAATTTGAATCTCTCACCTCTTTGAATATTAATTTATTTCTATGGCAGATGCTATAGTGATAAGCCAAGAGACATTTTCATAGCTAACATGCTTGTGCAATTTCTTCCCTTAATTGATTGGTTTAACTTAGTAGGTTGAAGGTTCAGAATCATGCCAGGAACTCTTGAAAATGAGCGGGGAAAGTGCAGTGAATGTGCATCTAATTGTTCAAAAAATGTTCTATTAATTGTTTGTTATTAGTGCTCAACTCCAATTTACTGAGGTGGTGGTTTTACTGCTATGTTAAGACACTCTTTTCAACTGAAAAATATATTCTTTCAACGGTTTTAATTCCTGATGAAGTATTTAATTGTTTTCTTACCTCTCCCACTGAATTAGACAATGCTTGTACTATCTTCTCATGAGCAGTAGCAACAACACTTTGTCCATTGATCTCAATAATACGATGTCCTACTCTTACCCCTCCCCTCTCAGCTATTCCACCTCGCATCAAGCTGCAAATCTGCCAAGAGAAAGCAAAGTTTATTAAAGTTTAGAAATGTCATAATGTAGCAGTTACTGGGATTTAATACATAATAATGAGTGGTGACACCGTAAGGATTCCAGAAGATACTTGTGGAAAGTATTAAGCAATACTGTGAGGTTTTAAATGTTGGTTTGTTTTTTTTCAAAATTTCTGCAAATTACAATTTTTATTTTCATTCTTATGGGCTGGGAACATATAAATACCTAACACAGTGATACAGGTAGCAGCCATGCAAAAGAGTGGAGTCAGGGGGAAGAAAGAAGTTTTATGTACTGTCAGGACAGGAGAAGAAAGTGATTTTTAAATATTTCTGACTGTGCTACCTGAACTCTTTCTGCAGACTACCACGTAATTCTTTCTGAATAATGGGAAATATAAAAAGTGCTAAAGTAAAAATTAATCTACAACAGCAATTTTTTCACATACATAGAAAAAAATGATATAAAGCTTAATCCTTAACCCTGCATAAATACTAGTTTAGGCTGAAGGAACGGATGATGCCATACAGATATTCTATATTGAAAGCTGGTAATCTGTCTAAAGGGTCACAGAGATACAAGGAATATATAAGGAAAGATCTATCTCAAAGATATAAGGAAGAAATTTTCCATGATGAGGGTGGTGAGACACTGGAACAGGTTGCCCAGAGAAACTGTGGAGGCCCTAGAAGTGTATAAGGTCAGATTGGACGGGGCTTTGAGCAACCTATCTAGTGGATGATGTCCCTGCCCATGGTAGGGAGGTTGGACTAGATGATCTTTAAAGGTCTCTTCCACCCACACTGTTCTCTGAGTCTATGAAACATGCAAATTCTGTTTCTTTTTACAGGCTGTTCTCAGCATAGTGAATATGACAACTTGTTTCCTGTGCCTCTGCAGGTTGGAAAAGGGCACTCTGCTCTCCAGAGCCTCTGCTTTTCTCCATGTTTTACAGTGCTGCTGGCCATAGGGAGCTTAGAATGAAGAAGGCAAGTCAGGCCACTGTTTCACCTGGCAGCTGCAGGTACCAGTAAAGAACTAGGCACAGG